GGATCAAACCAGACAATAAACGTCTCCAGTAGACAAAAGAAGGTGAGCAATCACCTCCCAGAGCAGCCTTGAGTCCAGCCAAACAAAATGTCGGGAACAGTAAAACAACGCCAGGTCTTCAACAGTTTAGGGTCACACGATAGCAAAGTGGAACATTAAGGATAAGTTTCAATTGAAGAAAGACAAATAAAGAGTGTTAAGTTAAAGACGAAGGGTGAATGACAAGCTGATACTAAACCGGTCAGGGGTGAAGGATAATATCCACGAAGAGGGCAAAAATATTCAAATTAATATTAGTATTATCAAGCAGAATGCTCAGAAGAGATTTTCAGACCATTTTCCCGTTACATTTTTCACCTGAATAGCACTACGTATCACGAGACGTTAAAAAGCTGATTGAGAGCAAATGACGAAACCAAATGTAGATACGATGCTTGTCACAAATGTACCACAATCAAACACCACGATAGTGTCATCGCTGTCCCTCTGAAGAAGCTTCATGCTATCTTGTAGCTGGTGGTGGCTGGATGATTAAGTTTTGAAGTGTTATCTTTACATCCTCCCAAAAGTCATCGACTTGTTTCTCAAATAGTGCAGAGATTCTGATGGTAAGTAGTAGGTTTCACTCTAGTTCGTGGCTCCATATGGAACTGTCTTGTCCGGGTTGAGCGCTGCGGTGTTTAGATATTTATCCATGATAACTTAGTCGATGCCTGACTGTAATGCTGATAAGAAACAACCCGAACGACGAATATCGTTTTCAGTAAGCTTTCATCAGGCTCTACAACTATTAAGTGTTTTTGCTTAGAGCTAAAGCAAGACAAGTTTAGGTGAATACATTTCCAAAATGGGGTGGGGGTTAGGAACTGTAAGGAGATCGAGTTTTTTAAATTTGCCAACAGTAAGATGACCTATACACTAGTGAAGGATGTGATGGAAAGAGAAAATATAACAAATAAGAAAGTTAGGAGTGACCCTTTGTCTACTGCAAGCCAAGTGGGGAACAGTGTTTGAACATGTTCTTTCAGAGTGTAGACAATAATTCCACCCCATTTTACCAGCAGGAAATGAGTGGGTTCCTCCTATAGAGCATCCGTTATATTTGAATGCAAAAACAGCACTAAAAAGACTATGGAAGGTCTTCTATCATTGTGTAAGTAACCTTTTAGCTGCCAGACTGGTTAACCACGTGCACTGGAACTTCACCTTCCTTCTTGCCCTCCATATCCCACTTAAATGTACCTTGTCTATGGTTTTTGAGACCACTCAAATCAAGCGTTAGCCAGTCCTCTGAAGTGTGATGATTTTCAAAGCAATCTGGAAAGAAAGTATCTAAGTCCTGCATCCGAATTGAGTAGACCATGCATGTTTCTTGGAGGTGCTTCTCCTAATAAACATGCTTTTCAGACAAACCACGAATCAAGCAACTTTTAACAATCGGGACTTGGAATTTTCTCTATCTGAGGTGGGTGTTCGTATTCTGAAATCAGACAGAAAAATAAAAGAAGGGTAGGAAATCGGGAAGCTGAAGAAATAATTGGTCATCAAATGCTGTTTCCAAATTCCGATGGGAAAGTCTATGGTCGCCTGTGGTAGATATTCGATATCCAGTTAAATTTGTGCTTACTGTAAGGATCTAAGGCTCTTAACTCATGTGGCACATACAGGATATAATACAATCTCGTAGTATAACACTGAGTATTCATTTATATATAAGGAGCTACGACAGCGTTGAACGACAAGTTTCAGGAAACCCATCAAGAAGATCCCAGTGAATCACAAGCAACACTCTTATACAGTTGCTTTTTTAAAGGGGGAGGTGTTATACAATGCGACAATGTCCTCTAGATTCCTCAAAGAAGCCTGGAAATCCCTGAGAAACTTTACAGCAAACCATAGTATGACGGAAGTTTGTGAAAAACAACGTGATCATATGTGTGAGTCTCAGATCGGTTAGAGGATTTCTAGAAAAGTGTAGAACTTGCAAAGGCCATCAGAAAATGTAAATAAACCGTCACGTTTTGTACATATTTAGACTTGATAATAAACATGTATCTTTTTCTGCTGATTCTTTGTTTTGAGTGACTGAGCAACTCTCGAGTTTGAAGGCTACGACTATTGTTCAAGAGTCCACCCATATATGTCTATATAAACCTACCACAAGGATGTATCACTAATTAAAGTGACGGAGATACTAGGTAGTGTGTAGGAATCAGAGGCAGTACCGTTGGACTGACCTACTTCTCTGATCATCCCAGTCTATAAGAAGGGAGAGAAGTCTCCTTGTGAAAAACATAGGGGATTAATTTGAGCAACATTGTGTCCAAGATCCAGTTATCCAACGACTAACTGGAGCTCGAGAACAGCAAACTCGAGAGAACTAGACAGATTTCAGATCTGGATGGAGAAGCATCGGTCAAATCTCATCTCCTATAGTTTCTATAACACGGGTAAACTTACCAGCGGCCAACACTTGCCATGTTTCTTGACCTGAAAGTGGCACTTTACCCTGTCATTATTGAGGTGTTGTGGCAGTGTGTGACTGTGTAAGGAGTACAGGGAAAGTAATATGGCGCTAACCAAAGCTCTCTACTCAAACTCACGCAATCACCTCAAACCTTTAGAGTTGCCATGTGAATTGATTACAACTAGTGGTGTCCGCTTGTCACCGTTCCTATTCGATTTCGTCATAGACAGTAATAGGCATCAGCTTAAGTCCCTGTGACTTTCCACGAATTGACTTACTCCTTGGAGGTCACCTAGTTGACTTCGAGTATGGAAACAATATTGTGCTGTTGAGTGAAGACACTGACAAAATGCAGTGTCGTGTGAACGTCTTGAGCAGAAGCCTGAGTATGTTCGGCATGCGTTTCAACGGCACCTGTCAAATGTAAAGTGATGCTTCAGGACTGGTCTGTAATCACCCTATATTTAAGATGGAGAGTGAAGCGGCAGATTATGTCGACCACCTCGCTTACCTGAGGTCACATCAGCCCACACTGGATGGTTGCTGAGAGGATCTCAGCTTGGATGCACAAGGCCAGTTCGGCATTCACCAACTTGCGTCACCTGTGGCGCCGAATAGTGAGATATCTGACTATCTACCAAAGGAGGAATGTACTGCGTTACAGTTCATTGTCCTGTTGTACAGCTATGAAAGATGGCCACTGAAAGTAGAGGACATGATGCGGTCGCAAGGTTTTTATCATAGGTGTCTTCGTAGCACTGCTCGCGCTTGGTGGAATCATCGTGCGAGCAATGTTGCTGTCAGGAGAAGAGTACTAGGCAGAACAAACAATTCGATTGAAGATGTGCAGCTTAGTCGATTGGGGTTTCTTGGACATGTACTGCGCATGCCGAGCCACCATATACTTCAACGTACCATACCGCGGGAAGCTTGATTACGGTGGTGACCACACTAAGAAGTGGTGCCAGTCGACGAAGCCTGTGACTGTTGACCTGAGTTGCTTATGAAGGTGAGGACTAACTGTCTGGGGTTACTGATACGATATTAGTCAGCGGTTGGGGACTCTGGTAACAGTGTTGAAAATCGGCTACAGTGGCACAGATGTATTCACTTCCTGACGTCTTCTAAAGCTTGAATATTAGCACCAACCTTTGTCTGCAAGTTGTTTTTTTTATCTCACACAACCTTTTTTCCTTTGATATCACTCTTTTTGTATCCACCTGTTTTTTGTACTGTGAAGTGTGGCAAGTTGAGTGGATGGACTTATGTGCGTGGTTCTAAGTCGATTTTGTCTATCCGCCTGTCATTGGAAAGTAAGCATTTCCATTTTATTTGGTTCTAAGTGCTGAACGAATTCTGACGGTGGGTTCGTTTGTGGTTGAACGCAGTCGCAGGAGGATCTGTCATCTTGTCCCAACGTTAATACTATGAGGAAAAACCAAAAGAAACTACTATTATTTGTTGACGCTTGTGATTTTCCGTCGTTATACTAGGTCGAATTGATCAACCACAGTTGGCACATGGGATACTGTGCGAATGCCTCGTTATTACCCGAATATCTATTGTTTTTTTAGGTGACTTGGTTTCAGCTAGCAGTGAAATCTAAGATGCGCATTTCGTCCTATTTGGGACTCAGCTGGATATATCTGCATCACGACGAGTGATGTCATTCTCACTGCAACTCGAACCTCATGCCCAAGACTCCTAAAGCCAAAGTATTTCCCACTTGGCCACTAAGGCACGATAACCACCTCTTGTAAAACGATTATTAGTTACAACTATTTGTTGATACTTTCAATTCTTCGTGGTTAAACTATGAAGAAACTGATTTATTCCACTCTTTATCATCAGGTCAAGTTCTATTCAAAAATTTCTGGTAGTTTCCTTATCTAGACAAATAATAAAGTCATATAAAGACCAAATAGGGAATGCAAATTTCTGCAATCATGTCAAGCAATAAACGTAATCCCTGGATAAATCAAACTGAATACTTAGCGGTTGTCGATTGTTTTTTCAGCAACCTAAAAGGATCACAAAGCAGTTATCCGGTAGTAAATGATATTCGAAAAGTCTTTGATGAGCACTGATTCTAAAGATACTTAGTTATGAATAGACTCGGTAAAACAAGCGATTTATTTGGCAAAATAGTGATCATTATAAAATACTTCAAATATTCGCGTAAAACAGTTGAAATAAACATACGCTGTTGCAAAAGATAAACAATATTAAGTAGGAGAAACAAGTTTTTAAAATACAACAAAGGCAAGCAAAATAAGCTGACTAAGCTACGATATAAAAAAAAGTCGAAATAAGCAAGTAAACTATAAGACAAGCACGTACAAATACAGTCAAGAACGCTGCGCATTGGACAAAAGATTACTGTAACCCTATTTTGTATTTTCAAACTGAACGATAGAGGGAAACAGAAATTCGCGTCAAAGTAACTAAACACGCTGACACTATTGAAAGTATTCAGAAATTAAGACTAATTAAGTCAAGACAGGAAAAAGCAAACCAAAAACAGAGGCAACAACTATAAACATAATTTAACTGATTTTGTCATTGAAGCTTGGCGTAGACCACACAGACCTTGCAATAGTCTATGAGCATTTCTGCGTTCATTATATCTGTAAGAAAAAATTTATAACAAAAATCAGATGGTTGGACCAACCAAGTTTCAAATACGATACATATCGAAAGACAATTGAAAGAAAGAAATCCGGAGATGATTGGTGAGATTTTGAGAGCAGTGAGGAAGAATTGCAGGTAAGTAAAGTAAAAACAGGATAACAGACATTATCTATTTAAAACTGTCAATTTTCACCTCAATATGCTGATATGAAGAGAGGGAACTTGAAGTGCAAAGTGGTTAAGCCAGGTTATTCGCCTCTACTAACTAGTAGTGACCAGGTTAATGAGAAGACTAACTGAATGTCAACAAATGTACGTTAAAGCTCCGAACACTTATTAATTGCCTTTTGTTAGCATAATTGAAGTGAAGGAAAGAAATAAAGCTAGCACATATACTGTAGGTTGTTATCCCCAGTGGGATACAGCCATCTAACAAAAGTACAGATACTGTGAAATTATACACAACATAGATGTAAAACTGTTAGGTACACGAAGTTAGCTATGTTACACTGAGAATTCTCAAATTTTCTAACTTTATTTCAAGATGCATAGCAAACGAACACCATAAGAATACTTTACTTTATATCGGGAAAAATCATCTGTTCATTAAAAACAACTTTACAACAAAAGCTTGACAAACATTCTGTTAGCTAAGTTCTGCACTTCAGCTGTATTGCATTTAGTAATTTTCAAAACACGAAAGTCTAAATTGTCTTTAACTTAAGACAAGTCAAAGGTTGTGATAAAATACTGCAGGCATTTTTAAACTATCGAGAATAACATGAATAGGAACCTTTTAAATACTATTTGAACAAAGAATATTGTTTTCAATAAATTCAAATTAGTCTCTACAGCCAAAAGATGGCATTGTATAGAGTAAAACAAGTCAAGTTTGGGGCAAAGACATTTTAAAAATGGAATGTAAATCAGGGACTGTAAGGAAATCAATTTTGTTTTTTGATTTGCCACTATTAGGATGATATATATACAGATGAAGAACGTGATGATAAAGGAAAAGACAACAAAAATAGAAGAGAGCGACCTTTAGGTTATTGATGACCAAGTGAGGAACAAAGCTTGGACATGCCTTCTGAAGCCAAAGTTCAGGCTTGATTAACGTTATTGGAGCAGCCCCAACCACATTGAGTATGTGTTAGTGAGCTACACCTATTATTGCTTTTGGTACACTATGTATGACAGTCAGGGATGTTTTAGCATCTACGTGATGTCATGTATTTACTAAGTGCGCTTGGACAGAACATTTCATCACTTTCAGTTCGCCCTTTCCGAACCAAGTCGGTAAATGCTCGGGTATCCTTAGACGCACCTGCCAAATAGTATGCCTTATGTAAATAGTTCCATAGGATCAGTAAAATTGATATATACAAGATGAAGAGTACACTATCCTTTAGTCTCGGACTGAGCACTGATCGACTACTGAATGATTTACAAAGCCGACCTGCATAAAACGTCCTATTGACTGCTTTAGCTAGGCTTTGTGATAGAATGTCATTTGCAGTGTCTCCCTTGAATTGTAAGCGCATAAATAAAGACTTCTTCTCCACTGTCATCAGTTCTTGTTTGAGACCAATGTAGTTGATATTAGTTTTGATGAACTTATTCGGATATCCGTTTTCACTTAGAATATCACGGATACACAGTAGTTCTTTTCCCACATATTCATTAGAACAAATCGATCTTACTCTATATGCCAAGAACCTGATTATATTATATTCGTATTTCATCAGTACGAAGCTGAGAAAGTATATAAACAATGGAGATTTATGTAGTAACCGTGAAATGTACTATGAATATCAGGAGAAATTACATCACAATAGCAGTGAACTAAGAAACTACACAGCAAATCTTGACTACGTACGCACGTCAAACTAACAGATGCTTAAAAAGAAATGTGAATGCATTTATTATTAAAGCTGAACACTACATAGAAAATATCACAGAAGATGTTAAAGAAATTTAAACTTGATCAGTCTTAATGTAAAGCATGTAAAAGGGATTGTCATGATATCAAGGAATAACTAATATTATAAGTGAATATCAGGCAGTTACATCGTCGCCAAAAGCTTGAGTACAGTAGTGCAAAATGTATGGAGGTTAGTCAAACGAATGGTGTGATCATCTCTACAAAAGTATTAGCACTCAAGATCCTCCGAAAGTCTTGGAAAAGTCTACCATCAAAATTATTGATGAAGTCGTAAAATAGTTGGCTTCCAGACGTTTCGAAGCTAACTTACAAACAGGAGGTATGCAAATAGCTGAACAAAATAGATTAGAAACACAGCTCAGATCTATTTATTTCAAACGAATGACTAAATTGGATACATCTAATGAGGAATATGGCTGAAGAACTGCGATTGAAGAGTGATAAAATCCACAGGTAACTTTTTCAACAGTCTTCTAACAGCTACATTTAGGGCCCAAAACTAACAGCTGGTTGAAAACGTCCAACCCCAAACAGTGAACGTCGTCGTCAGTGCTCAACAAGATGCAGAACACAGTTACCAACTCGCGCATATTCTCTTATTGTGTATATATGTAATGTTAGGCATGAAGACGTTGATGCATAAAATAAAAAAGGCTGAAAAAACGCTTAAACACAAATAAAAAAGATTGTTTGATACACCCAACGAAATAAATAAGGGAGCCATACGATTAAAAACCAAATGATATTAGTATTAGGCGATTAATTATATATCAGAAAGTGAGAAATACTAATTTGTGCAATTTAAGATGCAGGCAGACGGTGGGTTAAAGGAATTACCACCTCTACAAATATGATATATAAATATATTTTAGCTAACCCGAATTAAATTGACTGGTACTTTTATTATTGTGTTCATTTTCTAGAATATAAACGCATGGTAATAATAATAACAAATGAATATTCATCAATAAATTCTTCTAGAAGACGATAGCAAATGGTATATATGTGATATAGTATGGAATACTTTTAGTTTGGAGTTACTGTTAAAATGTTGCACCCTCTGACTTGGATGGTTTAACGGTCAAGAACAATCTCGACAAAAATGAAGCTATCGGAAATCTCATGATATTAAACCACTTGTATCTTCATACTTTCCTTCTTTTTGAAGTTTCTGCTAGTCATATTGTCTAGAACAACAACGAAAGCTTCATATGTGCAACTGTATGCGCCAACATGGAGCGTTGACACAGATAGACATTTTTAGAAGCTTCCTCCCGCCCCCCTCAAGTAGTAGTGAAACAGTAGGGAACTGACTGCAGAAATTTAAGACGGCTGAAGGTGGTTTAAACATTAGTTCTTAATCTGAAAACCAGGAAATATAAATACAAATGCTACCTGTAGTATCCCCATACTAGTATGTTATCAAACGATAAGCGTATATTTTCTCTAACAGTTAGAAGCATCGGTTGCAAAACTCATGAGACGTTCCTGCATTGAAAGAGTCCTTCACTCTTACTTGCATTTAACTAAAACTTAATCATACGATTCCCTCTGTTCATGTAAGGCAGTAAAGATTATTTCATCACCAGTGTAAATGTTAAGCGTCATGGTGAAAAAAAGCAGGAATTCGTAACTGCATCAAGACTTTTCTATTTACTAGACTCAACATGGAAAATAGGTGATTGAGGTGCTAAAGCCATTTTCTGACTGTAGTGAAACGGAAAGAGAACTAAACACCGTATTTTCAGAATACGGTAAAGTGAGGACTTATCGACTACAAAGTTGATTGCCAGGCTGAATAACACCTTTGAAGAATAGTGCAACTGAATTATTTCCCCTGTATAGAAAAGGAACATGTAGAGTGGAAATGACACGTAGTAATAGTGACAGACTATCAATTCCACTGTGAATGACTTTCAATCAAAATATTTGATGCGAAGAAATCGAGTCATGTCCCGGAAAAGAAGACGACTGATACAGAACTAACTGTGAACAACTAATGGATAAATAGCTTAGAGGATTTCATACATCGTGATCGACTGAAGGTGTTTAACTCAGTGCAGGAAAGAAGCCAAATACGCGACCAAAAACCCACAAGCATCTATCGCCAGTTATCTAGAACGACAGTGAAGTCTTCCCAGCTTGAGAAAAGCAACACGACGGAGAGTGAGAAAAAGTGCTTAGAAATTGTATGCAGACTATCATAGATCTTAGCAGTAGGGGCAAAGCACTACTCGTGAATACTGTGACCACTGTGAATACATTTTACGAATAAAGAAAAGAAGCAGCTACGTACAGTAGTTAGTGTGTAACAGTAACAGTGTAAGTATAAGAATCACTAGCATATATGTTACTGTGTACATTCGAATGCACATAATTATGTGCATACTCTTTTCTGAAAATGCGCTCACAAAAAAATAACATTTTGATCGATTAAAAAAAATTCGAAAGATTAACAATCAATGAAGGAACTGTACTTCATTATTTCTATAAAAAGACAGACAAAAAAAATCCAACAAATTAACCGACCTCAATCGTGTTGCGTGTGCAATACCGTTGATAGATATGCACTTGGATTTTTGTTTAAATGACTGTATGTTGGTGTCTAGGTGAGCTGTTCGAATGAGAGGTAGAGAAAAATACCGTTGAAAATATGCTAATTAGACTGTTTTCTTTCTTTGAGTGATTGATTAACCACATCTATACATTCATCTATGATACACAAACAAACTAGACAACTGAAAATGTTTAAAGTAAGAAAATGTTTAAGAATCATTAGAAAAAAATGTTTATAAACGATGTATATAGAGTAACTAACCTGACGCCAGGGGAAATTTCGCTGGTTACTACATTCGCCTAAAATATTTAAGTACATTTTTTAAAAACAAGCAAACAATATGTTTCTTAAAAGAAAGGTAATTGCATAATAATTACTCTAGATATAAGCAGGTTAGCGAGCAATGAAGGTATTCAAGATATTCAAGTAGTGGGTAAATGAGGCTTTTTTTTTCTGTGACTAAATAAATATGCCAAGAAGCAAATTGTGCCAAAAAGAAATACAATCGTAATTATTTATTTATAAACGTGGAATTCAGTTCACAGTTATGCTGATTCACATTAAAATACGTAAATGAAACTTTGAAAGACGCTTACCCTGTGACAGTGAATAATCCTATCTAGCTACCTATCCGAGTCATTTAGAACTCAATAACCTGGTCTAATAACCACAAAACGGTAAAGTTCAATTTATCCGGTTTTGAAAAGAAACTATTCATGATATGATATCAATGAATAAACAGTGAATAGTTGAAAACTACGCTGACCATTTATGCATCATTCAGTAGAAAAACATAGAATATAACGTTTCCTTTGCTTTTGTCATTTGCGTAATCTGAGAGTTTCGCAGCAGAACCTAAAGGTTCCGGGTTCGATCCTTGGCGAGGTCAAGGGTGCACACGGTTGAGTAGTTCGATACTAGGTAGAAACAGCTGTCCAGTACTTCCAATTTTCCGAAGTTTCTCCCACTGATGTCCGTTTATGATGAGTACCAACCTGAAATAAATTCCTAACGTTGGTGTAAAGAACGCCACTTTAGATCTACTATGCATAATGTATAAAAGAGAAGATAGAAACCAACAGACGTATCATAATGTATCTGGAGAGACTACACTGAAGATAGTATATGTTAACACTAGATATGAGTTGCAGCAAATATGTAAATCACGGATCATTCAACATCTGATTTGTTACAGGGATGTTGCAGTAAAAACTATTGCTTTGAGTCTCGACCCACTGAATGAATGGCAATCTATAGAAATTTGAGTTTCATACTGCATAAAAATAAGAATAAACAGTGATAAAGGAGCGGCAAACTATGACAGAATTACTACGCAGTATACCCTGAAGTTTAAGGACTCTCCAATGTGGGTGTGTGGATAATATATTACTGTGCGTTTCGTTATTGTGCAGTGAGAATCACTAATCACCAGAGAAATCTCCGTTTTGGCCAGTTCAGGTTTAAAAGGGGGGAACTAACACTGCCTTTCATAATCATTACGATATCAAAACACAATCAACTTAGACCCCAATTCGTATAAAAAGATATTACCTTTGAAGTATTATAAACTGAATGGATAAGATTGAGGATTTCGGAATCATTTTTAGATTTCGCCACAGCTAGTGCATTTTTCCCGTTCTATGAAGAGAAACAAGAGAAACAAATGCAACGGTCAGTCAATGAGATTTTTTTTTACTACAGTCACATTCACCGTTTAAAGTAGTTATTATCGAAAGTGATTACGCTTCTGTTATAGGAAACATGTTATCTAAAGCAGCAGTCTCAGAGAAGTGATGAAGGGGAAATTAACGTCTCTGTAGAAGGAACAAATTATGATCGCCTCCCTATGTTTGTGTCTGAACTAAAAACCAAATTAAATGGCGTATTAGTGATGTAATTTGCTTCACTTTCAAATAGGAAATTGGAGTACTTTCCTGATAAGCAAAAAGGTAAATGTTAAGCACAATAATGAATCACTGCACATTGGTAGTCCAAGAGATGAAGTTTGAAGGCGATAACCAATTTTAAGTTGGAGTTGTGGCTCACTGGTTTTGAAGTATGACTATCAACCATTGGGTCGTGGATTCGAGTCCCACTTCACCTACCGAAGTTTGGGTAGTCAGGTAGTATCACTAGCCCTCACACAACAGGTGTGGCTCATTGCCTAGTGAACGGATGTACAAAAGGTGGCTGAGGGTGCTTCATTATTTCTTTTAACCCAGTTTCGAGCGTTGTGGAAAATACCATATTAAACTGCTTACTTGATACAGCCAACTTACTCAATGACGTTTTGAGCAAAATTTGTTGCTCATAATCATATCATAATACTGTATTACCGTGACATATATATACGGAATTACACTCTTTTGCAGTGCCCAAGTTTTAATCTAACATTGAGGAAAATAACTTGATGAAACTGATTAAATCTACACCGTCTTACAGATGTTGAGCAGAAACAAACAACTTAATACCGAACACTGGGAATATTACTTTATCTGAAAGCAGCATTTGGCCTGGATGACAGAAAGATCTTGTAACAGTGTTTGTGTTTAATAGAAGTTCTACCCAAGTGAATAGTGACACCGAAAGTTTTAATGAAAGCCGTAAGGTAATGTCTAGGCGGATGGTGGGTTTTTACGTAAGCTAATAAAAGGTAAGTGTATTACTCAGTTTGAATGACTATGAGAAATAACATATGGAAGTACACAATATATAGAAGTTATCTGTCAGGGATCCCGAGAGAAACATGAGTGAGAATTGGCTTCGAAGGAAAATGAGAGAGGTTATAACAATGACTTCAGAGTTCAATTGTAACGTACTCGTTGTGAAACTTGAGGGTCCTGCGTCTGGTCGCCACCAGGGTCATAGGTGCACACTCCTGAGGAGATATGAAGAAATTACAGGTTCTTAAACAGATGTCTTCGTCCCACTGCTTGTGTATCGTGGAAACACTATGGTAGAAATGTCGAGGTTAGGCGGAGGGTGCCAAGAAAGGAAGACAAGTCTGTGAATGAGACCATGATCTCTCAGAGACTGAGGCGATTTAGTTATATGTTGCGCGGTCTACCTTGATGTACAATGATAGGGGAAGTTACATTAGGTTTAGAAGTTGGGGTGACTAGACCTAGAAGTGGAACCAATCCATGAAATTTTTGACTGTCGGTCTGAACAGTTTAAGGAGGTGTGGACTATTTCACCAGGATTTAAAAGACCATAGGAGGACTTTTGGTGACAGTAATGAAAATCAGTCACAATAGTGCAGATGTACTCACTTTTGATGTCTTTTCAGGTTTGAGCGTTTTCACTAACCTTGAGTTTTAGATTCATTTTTCTCTCACTCTGATATGTCTATTTCTGTTCACTTGTTTTTTGCATGCTAATGTGAAGTAGGGCAACTTGAATGGATGCACTTCTGTGAGAGGTCCTACGTTGACTTTGTCTTTATGTCTCGTTGCCGGTGTTTTTATAAGTTTCAGATAACGTGGATAGTATAAACGTACTACTTTGAAACAACTCAAAGCTAAATAAAAATTTGGTAACAAATGCCTGAACGATGAGGTGTACATTTCTTAGAGTGAAAGTTCGAAAGATTAAATGAGCAAACGCTTATTAACCACTGAGGGTTTTCTGTAGGATTTATCAACTGTAAAATTAGCCCAGAACATATTTCTATGTGAACAATCGTAATTCTTCCATAGTCTTCCTATAAGACGCAAGATTACATACCTTAATAACACACACAACAGAATTAGAGTATATTCGACTTAATCTAGCCTCGATAATCACATACTATCTAAAGTAAACATACATAAACCTACAGAAGACAACTCAAAGCTGTGCACGCGATTGCGAACTGCACTTTTTTTCTTCTGCTTGTCATTCTACCTGTTCATGTCGAATAATATATTCAGCTAAGAGCAAATTCTTCAGCTTTATCTCATCAAAATACTTCATGCTGTTTATTCAGTTAACATTTGATCATGAATAATAGATATGACAGCTTGCCATGTTCCAGATTATATTGTTTTATACAGAGCAGGTGGGGTGTTCAGATGCCAAAATCCATTTACTTGAACTGACTTTCTCTCTATCAGTATACTGGCTTTATACATTAATAACTTCTGTGAATTGGAGGAGAATTAATCAGCCTATTCATATTATCAGTCAGTTTGAAATAATAACAATAATAATTACGATAGCTAAGAAGTAACAGTACCAAAACTATGGAATTTGTTAAATTCAAATTGATAACTTTTAAAAAAGTGTTGATTAGACTTCTCAGTCAAATGAATCTAGTCAGCTGATGTCTCGATGACACTGTCAACCTTGCTACTACATAATTTACAATTGAGAACTAGTTATCAAATATATAAGGAATTGAAAGGACATTGATCAGCTGTTAAAGGGTTACTGTTTTAAATCAATATTACATGAATAGTTCTCATGCCTTAGAAATAATGGGCAGTGAACAAGATACTTGTTTCATTATGGCTGTGCAGTTGAATAGTACATTCTGAGATATAATGAAAAGTCCTAACAGACTGACTGAAATAATCAACGTACAACTTCGCACTCAAGTGCACTGGCTCAACTTGACACGGTAGAATATAACAGTGAGAGACTTCATCAAATGGCGTTAGGTCTTGGTTTGGCCACCCTGAACCTTTTTCCAAACTAATCCAATATCTCTTAGCATGGCACGTCAAAGTAGGCTGTGGTCCAGCATGCGCAGTACATGTAAAAGCCTCCTCGGTCGATGAAGGTTCACAACCTCACCAATCGACTTGCCTGTCTTGCCTAGTATCCTTCACCTGACCTCAATATTACTCACATAGTGATTACATCAAACCCGAGCAATGCAACGAAGACGCTAGAAGTCAAAGGTTGATATCATTTGGTAACAAAGTATATTTGGAAGGCAAAATCGGGAAAGCAAAAAACAGTGTATTTTGTAGAGAACGCCAAATTATATCATTTAATAGAATTTCCTTGCAAATTTTACTCCAGAAATATCTTGTCTGCAAATAGTACCAACACCCCTACACCCTGAGTGAAAATTTCCATTTCCTCGCCAAAATACCTCTAAAGTGCATAGGTATGACATAAGAAGTTATGCAAAGATTAATTTCTAGTAAACATAATTCATGCTTTTTTTTAATTTGACACACTTGTATATGAGACAAGTCATTTACGCACTTTTAGGGTTAGTCTGTATTCTTATCTCTAGTTGTAAAGTTGCTACTCGACTATTCTGACTTTGTATTAGAAATGCTATCTATTCAGTGAAGTGTCTAAAGTACGACAAGTCTTTCACACAAAAAAGTGCATCAATAAAGTATATTTTAAGCATATGTTGCCTTCTAACCATATATTAAGTGCAGATACATCTAATTTCTGAGTTCTGTTCCGATATAGTAACACTTTCAAAGAGGTAGATGCATCCGGCCAGAGTTCCAGTACGACAATAAAAAAGCCTTCTCTATTTCATTGTCATCTACAAACCAAAATGGTGTCGTGATTACTTGGAAAACAAAAATATTACACAGAATCCAAATTACTCTGTATAGCTTCATCAATACAATAAGCATTTGATGGGAAAAATCACATTTTGATAACACCATACTTACTCAACAAATGCTAGTACAACTAAATTGAGAATTTCACCGTAGTTACCTCTGTTAATGCACATCTGTAGTGAACAACTACTGCTACCAACAAGACCTGATTAGATGTAAATGTAAGTGGCGTTATACGCTAAAAAACCATACGAATAGTTCATCTTAGAATGAATGAAGTAAACGTATCACATTAAGAGAGATCAGACAAAATACAGGTTTTCCGATCCATCAACTTACATTGTCAACCAGAGTTAAATCTAAATCCCATAGCCGAGTAAACAGTTTATGACGTCGATATGACCTTGTTCAATTGCATACATTAAGGCAGTATTGCCAGAAGCATCTTGAGCATTAATATCAGCACCGTGTGCAATAAGTAACGAGCAGATATCAACAGCTCCATTTAATGCAGCTAACATTAATGGAGACTGACGAGCAGGTGTATTTGTGTGGAGGTTAGTATCACCCATACTAAACAATCGACTGATCGTTTTCAGAGCAATAGGATCAGAGACCTAAACAGAAGGTGAAGTATAGTGGAGATGAATATATAAAATATCTCAAATTACTGAATAGTTTTCAAAAAAACAGTTAAACATAACGAATAAATTTGTGTCTTCTTCATCCGTCTTAATTGGATCTAAATAGAAAGACAAGATATCATATGAAAATAAAACACTGCAAAGTCCGTTTGAAGTCTCCACAGTAGACATAAACCAATAATCTTTTCTACAATCGTCTTGTCAGTTGCACTTCTGTGAATAAAGTTATGCAAGCTCTGAGCACAAGAAGGGTGGATGCAGCCGAAATGTAAACTGACGAACAGCATACATATAAACTGTGAGTAGTGATGGATAAAGAAGGTAAAATGGGTAGACAAAAGTAGCTTCGATGAGCACACTAAATGTTTGTGTCGATTTATCAGAGAAAATCAGATGAAAAAGTCGATGGTCAGTGATAATACACTGGAGAGATGGGTATAGGAATGTATTGTAGTGAAAATGACTGAAATGACCGCTGCGATACTTCAATTAGGCTTCAACTACTCTTCGGCTGCTCGCTTTCCAGTTGTTTCTCCAATGGAACATTGACATACAGGCCCCAACTCTTACAAAAGTTGGGTATTTGATTAATCCGAAAAGAGGGAGGGACGAACGGCTTTGACGGATTAGCACCTGACGTATCTAAGCACGGTGACCTGGAATTATTAGTTAGATTAGATCAGGGATTCAACAATATATAAGAACAAGACTTAATCGGTTTTTTCCAAATATCTTAAAGGGGGAATCATCCCACGACAATCATAGAGAAATTATCCCAAAAACAGTGTATCCCAATGACTCAAGATGATGAATCACCATCTCTTTAGCAAAATGAGAGTAGTTTACAATAATGATGGGTTAGTGTTACTAACGCGGAGAATGTATCCACCAATCAAATCCAGGAATAAGCAATTATGACAACGAAAAAGATGATTATGACTTACATTAGTTAGAGTAGCAATCATAATCGGTGAAAAGCCGGACCGATTTAGATGATCTGGATGAGCATGTCCTGTATCCAAAATTAAGTTAACCACTCGCCAAGCACCATGACCAACAGAGTAATGTAAGCAAGTACTATCCTATAAATAATAAAATGGAAAATAAACCCGACGCAATAAGTTCAAGTAATTTTGTGTTTTATGCATGATAAATCGATGTAAAAAAAGTATAGATGATATAACAAATAAATATAGTCAAGTTTTCTACTAACATATTAGCGTTGATACTTGGTGATGATTGAAGGTGAGATAAAGATATAGGCCGCGACTGAACTGGAAACCCGTTGGCTCGATTCCTGCAGCGGCCCGAATTTTCATTTCAGCTTCAATCACCACCGGTACCAAATAAGCAGAAAGCGATATTAAAAACCCAGCGTACATGGTCATGCAAGGTAGGAATTCGATAAGAAACAACAATACTATGCAAATTTTCATAGACATGCACAAACCTGTATATCAGTAAGTGCTAATCAAGCATCCAGATTATTTAAGTTACAACTCAGTAAACATTTTATTACCTCTATTCAAAGGTAAGAAAAAGCAACTTAAAATACGGTAAAGAGTACTAGGAAGAACTTACTATTATTACCTTTAACTAAGACGCGATTTATACACAGCAGCAAGTAACAATGAAATTAGTTGTCGAATTGATCAGCAAACTTTTATAACTGACAGCATGAGTCAAATGAACCACGTCGTTATCAATGACTAGAGTATGAATCACTTGCTTCCGCTGTTTAGTCTACCTAAACATGGAGAAGGAATTAACGGGTGGCTGATGGCATAAAGTACAGAGGCTATTCTTTCATCATTTATATGGAAAATAAATACAGCACCTAGTGATATCAGTGAAAACATTTAGTTGACAACTGGGTATAATCCACAAGTCATACATGAGAATCTCGAGACCCTCTTGGCCGAAAGCTGCTACCATGATGTGGTGGTCCAGTTTGTATATTACAATGACGCAACGAGTCATACTGGCTGGAATGCTTGTTCCCTCGAGGCTCTAGCATGTCAGAAAGGTCTGTAAGATAGTGGTAAGGCGAACAGCAGTTACCACAGTAGTGTAAATTACCACACTATGATGGGGGTCTGAGGGCGAAGTCGTACTGCTTCTAGCTGAGTGCGATGTGATAGAAGTAAAGTGTTCCCCTTGGGCAACCGGCAGTGCCACGTTGATGCTGACTTCCTTATGAAAAGGAGTTAGAAAAGGTCGGACACCAAAATAGAACACTTCTCACCGACCCGCGGTCTTCCGGTACCTAAGGTATAGGTTTTCTGTATCCGGCATTATAACAACCAAACCCAAAAACAACCTGCAAAAGGTCGTGAGTAACAGGCCTCAAGCAGATGTCGCGCACGCCTTGAAGTCCACACAAGTTTTCTTCCCTTTTAGACATACTTAAAGGAAATAACATTCCATGGCGTGAGCAGCTGGGAAGTATTGACTACACGCACGCTTTCGAGTGTACACAAAACACAATATGCATATAAACTACCCTCTTCAACTTGTTCGCCTCCGTCGCCTTCACTTCTCGATACCAACATAAGGCCTGCTATAACATCCTACTCTGCTACCATTGTGGACGATCAAAGCTATCGAAACCTCATCTTTAGTCTCTTAATACCGTGCTATCGATTTCATGTAGGAGCTTACAACACTGATAGGTCACGGGAGAGCGACCGATTTCATGTTGTTTAGTCCTGAATGCAGACCAAATTCTATCGACTATATTTGGAATGTGGGCACCAAGCTAGGAGGCTGAGAATCGCGGTGCACATCTACCAAGGAGATAACAATGTCCGAAATCGATGCCAAATCCGACAGCAAGTACGGCTCACCAAAACTCTGGAATCTCAAGCCATGGACGTATATTGTCTCTGAGACACGTACACAGGACCCGAGTATGGTTATTAATTTGAACACACTTGACCAGTGCTGTGAATCTTCGAAATTCACTCAGGCATAACACTGAGCTGTAGGTCAGAGAGGGAGCTAATCGACTGGATACCAGTAAACACATATTTATGTGTTGTTCGACTGAATAGATAAGTAAGAACAAGAAGAATCATGAAACCAACCGATCCTTATTCGTAGTCTCCTCCTATGCATCCACCGACTGCAATTCGGATAATGAAAATGATGAATTCTATGGGAAGCTGTCAATTTTGATACACAAAGAGAAAAGCCCAGATAATGTTATAACGGCAGGAAAGTTTGACACTCAATTAGGGAAGATGAGCCAATAAGAAAGGCATCTTGGAGGTATTTACGGAACCCCGTCCCAACGAACCGCTAATGGTAATCGTCTGTTACAATGTTCTCACTTGTTTTTGACCAACACCAACTAGAAGCATAAGGAGAGACAGTGTCTCACTTGGCATCCGCTGACAACAAACCAACGATGGACATAGGTCGATTTCCGTAAGAAATGGTTGGAGGATTGCCACTTCTTCTGCACTATCTGTTTAGACTACGACCACGCGTTTAAACAGGCTTGTGACAACCTCCGACGACAGATAACTAGAACGTTGGGTGGAAGTCTGAAGCACAGTTCAACTGGCACACAGCGACGTTTCGGTCAACCAACATATAGCCTGAATATGAATACGAATTAGATGTTGGTCCTTCAACTCTCCTTGAAGTTCAGAAGACTGCATCGAACCTGAAACGATGCAAAGTAGCAGAAACTGACAGTTTGCCACCTGGAGGATGAAGATAGGAAATTGCCAATTAAAGTGACGAATGCACTAGGTAGTGTGTGAAAATTAAAGGTAGTACCGTCAAACTGGTCTAATTCTGTGATTATCATAGTCTATAAGAAGAGAGAGAAGTCTTCTGTGACAAACAAAGGGGAATTATTTTGACTAATATTGTGTCCATGATTCTAGGGTTCATAGTTATCCAATGCCTAATCGGAGCTCAAGAACAGCACACTAGGGAAAAACAGGCAGGCTTCATACATGAATGAGGTTGCTTTTTCCAAATCTTCACCGTTCAACAGGTTCTGAAATACAGACATACCTATCGGTGGCCGATACACACCATATTTCTCAACCTGAAGGCGGCATTTGACTCTGTCAACTGTGAAGTGTTGTGGCAGTCTCTGACCTCAAGTACCAATCAAGTATGTGATGTTAGTCAGAGCTCTTTCTTCGAACTCACACAGTCGTGTAAGGGCTTATGGAGAGTTTTCATGTGAATTGACGACAACTAGTGGTGTCCACCAGGGACAACCACTGTCACCATTCCTATTTGACTTCGTCATGCAGGTACTAATGGACATAGCTTAGGTACTCGTGATTTAACAGGGATTGACCTACTCCAGGGATCTCATCTGGTTGACTTGGAGTGTGCAGACGATATTGTCCTGATAACAGAAGACGCTGACAAAATGCAGTCTTCTGAACGCCTTGAGGAAAAATCTGAATATGTTGGTACGCGTTTCGCACCTGTCACACATAAGATGATGCTTCAAGACTCGCAAGCAAATAGTACTAGTGATTTGGAGTGAAGTGGTTGATTGTGCAGACGTTCTGTTTGGTATTTACCAACTTGCGTTATATCTTGTGTCTACTGGCAAGAGATCCAACTGTCTATCAAATGATGAGTAAACTGCGTTGCAGTTCGTTTTGTCCTGTCATTTGGTTAAGACAGCCGTTAAAATTAAAAGGTATGATCCAGTCACACGTCTGTGGCCACTGGTGTCTTCATAGCTTTGCTAGCGTATGGCGGAATCATCTTGCTAGCAATGCCGAGGTTGGACGTGTATGGTTCCATATTGTTTTTTCTATCTGACTTTCTCGGATTTCACACAAAAATTCTACATCGCTCATTCTGTAATCCCGCCTTGCACAAGGAACAAAAAATCCATTATCTAGAATTCGCAGTCTCATGATGTCGTACACCTTGTACTGCTGCGTCTTACAACCATATTATTGGAAAGAGCAGACTAGTTGGAGGCAGTCGTGGTAGATTCCGGACCTAGGTTTTTTGCTTTTGACATCTTTCAGTAATATGAATTAACAGCTTTGAGGAAAATCATTTTATCTCTAAGGCGTTTCTACAACCTGATAGTCACATCTAACTGTAGCTGAGTGAAGGAGGTCTCAATATCTGAGGAAAAAACAGTTCCTGCGGGAGTACCGATTCAATATAGACGAGTACCAAAAATACATAAACTAAAAACATGACCCTCCTGCTGATTTCTTCCAATCATCTAACACTAATGAAAGTGCACCTTAATGATGTCTCCCAACTTCATAACCACATTGAAAAAAGGACATCAAAAAGTTTGGTTAGTAATGTGGCCTAGGCAACGTCACCTTAGTTACTCTTGAGCGATCAGTTAGTTGATACCAATATGGTACCTGAAATCACTGTGTAACGCTTCAAGGTGTTACAACTCAAACCAGCAAATCAAGGTTGAAGGGATAAAGATATAAGTTAAAGACAAGAAGAAGAATGTAATTAAAAGTTGCAAACAATCGCAGAAAGAAAGGAAGAAAGGTTAAAATGATAACAAGATTCGAAACAACAATTGAAATGAAGAGTGTGTGTGGATGCATCTCTACCATTGAGATTAGTCCTGGAATATATCGCATAGAGTCATCAATAATTGGTTTCGGCTGCTTGGCGAACCCCAGCATGAAGGTCTATACTTCCCTACACGAGTCAGACTGATGCAACGGGTAGATTCGACCACCCTTAATCTTTTCCAGTCAAACCATACCCAAGCCAAAACTGCACATCGGATGACCAGGCACTCATTCAACATTTCTCAGCTATCTCAGTTGGTGAAGGTTCACAACCGTATCAACTAACTCTTCCGTTCTACCTAAAACTCTAAAAATGACTTTTACGTTAATTAAGTGGTAGCAACATGACATACGGCCTATGCTATGAAGGCAATGTTAGTTAAACAGCTAAAGCTGTCTCATGTCCTCTACCTATAATAGCTATGTTTTAAAGCCATAAGGTAGAATGGAGTGAATTGCAGTACAGGACTCTCATTCCTAAATAGGCAACTGGGTATCATGCCGGTGTCACAAATGGCGTAAGTGCGTTGAAGGTAATTGAAATTTTTGCAATCATGCAGAGATTTCACGGTCAGTGACATGCCAAGGACCATCTGACTTCCCAAGTAAGGGACGTAGTCAATAGAATTAATTACTTTACCCTCTGTTTTTATATGAGGTATCAACACAGACCAGTCTTGCATTTAGATGGTGAGAAACACATCCCAAACATTTTCAGATTGATATTCAGTCTATCCACAAAACTCTATATCTAGTCAGCATTTCATCTAGCAGGGCTAGACCACCTGCATACTCTAGGTCCCCCTGACAGCCTTTGATAATAAGGTCAGTACCTGTAAAGCCAGATGAGAAGAGAGAAAGATCTACATAAACAGGTCCATGGAAAAGCTAACTAAGGATGGAGCGGGTGGATACCCTTGACGAATACCATTTGATACATACAACTCAATCGATATTTGATCATGAGCTCAAGTATACCCAATGATGTTCGAATAAGCGCCTTATTCTACATTCTTTTCAATGACACACGTTGCCATAAGACCTCTCAATAAACAAAGTCAAACGCCACCTTCGGGTCAACAAACTAGCAAGTATCGGTAGTTGTTACGTACGTCTGTTCTAAAAGACCTGGCAGAAGGTTCAGATTTGGTCAATACAGTCACGACCACGTCCGAAACTGGTCAGGTTTTTTATTGTTTGCAGTAACCAAACTTCGCCTATATAAACAATAATCTATGTTCGTCAAACTAATTCTCTTATGGAGGTAACAGCAGAATATTTCTCCTTTCCTAGAAACTGAGACAGTCGGTGATTCAGAATAGTCGGAGGCGATCATATTTGAATTCCATATGCTACATAACACTTCAGTTAATCTTACCAATAATCCATGGTCACTGTCTTTAAATACTTCTTATGCAGATCCATCGAGCCCTGCTGGCCTTCCAACTAATATCATTTGAATTCACTCTGGTAGGTTGTTTGTTTAGAAACTGATGAATTGGAAAACGGTATGAATATGATCAATGAAAAATGATAGTGTTGAGCATAAATATTTTAAAATTACTTAAAGTTAGATCAATTTAATAGGTTGAAGTTATCTTACAGGATCAAAGTGATCCAATGGGATCAGTATTATATATATATATATATATATATATATATATATATATATATATATATATATATATATATATATTGCCTGAGCGATACTAAACACAGACTGAATCGGTTTGATAATTATTTCAAATTTACACTTTATTGTATGGAATTCTTTTTAAAGAAGTAATTTCTAAAAACTGATCATCTTCAGATAAGACATATGCGTACATTTTCATGATAATAACAATAATAGAACTCTTAGTAAGTGATAATTACATCATCTAGTGAATGAGTAATTTCAAAATAAAAGTAATAAAAACTATAACATTGGAATGTGAGTTGAAATAATCAATAATTAATTCAGTGCACACACGTTTCATTTACAAACATTCATAGAAGTATCTTACTGATTTTTTGTAGGTATATAAAAGCCCGCTTAAATCATAATGAAAGAGGTCAGTATATATATATATATATATATATATATATATATATATATATATATATATATATATGTTAGTTGCTTCAGATATATAACAGCAAACTTAGTTTAACTAGTAAGTAAGTAAGTAGTAGACAAGCTTCAGATACATAAATGAAGACATAAACATAATAGATAGTTCAATTAGTCAATAAAAAAGGGCGAACCTTACTGAAGAAAGAACTAGTATAATATTCATTATCTGCACTAAACAAATAAAAGCTGATATTAAACATTAGCACTGATATGTTATAAAAATGAACTGTGTTCTACTGAACAACAACAAAAAGAAAAAAAAGATATACATACAAACTTGATAGAAGTAATATACAACTTAATAGAGCAGCGCAACAGTTGAGACAAACATTTTTAGTAGAACACAAGTTGATGCACAAAAGAAACCAAAAGAATGAAAATAGTGTATATTTTAGCTGCTTCAACTGACTGCGATACGGTTAAACAAGGTCCTGGACATCCGAGTGCATAGAGATATCCTGACACAACAATTATGTTAGTTTTAACTGTGGTTTCTGAGATCTACCTACACTTGCTGATGAATTTACACACTTCAGTTCTCGTAAACTGGCCAGTGTTTGAGAAATATCAAAGCTAGGCGTAGGATACAAGCAAAGGAAGACAAATAAGTCAATGGAGATATGAAGCTTCATCCACTAAAGTGGATTGGATACGGTTTGTGAATGCCAAGGGACCCCTAACTTGACGTGCTACGTAAACCAAACACAATGAGTTCGCAATATCATAAAATAGGTTAAGGTAGTATTCATCACGGAATGACATCAGTTGGAGAACCATTGAGAACCTAGGAGCACTGGACATTCACTTCATCCTAGTATGGGACTCATCAACAGTACGCGCTGTACGATGAAACGGCTGTCCAGTGCTCCCAGGTTCTCAATGGTTCTCCACCTGATCTCAGTTCACGATGAATACAACCTCAACATAGAATCCCCATTAACCTGGACATTTTTAAAACAGTTTGCTTGTAAACACTGAGGTAATATTTTAGATGTTACTAATGTCTTAAAAAATATTATGGTCTCTAGGTTAAAAAAAGTGCCCAGTATATTCGCCAGACCCTTAGATTAGACATCTGACTTCTGACCTTGTCCTGAAATCCCTTCTACTAAATAAGCTTTACATGGCGGACACTAAACCCTAGGTTATAAAATGAATACATTGTTATTCTTCTGAAACGAAATGCGTAGACTTCATATAACAAGAAGCGATC